CAATTTTTTACCTAAGATCTCACCCTCTATTTTCATCATTGTATAACAAGTGTTCATGAGTGGTTTGACCTATTTTTTGCCAATTCTTGAGTTAGATTTCAAAAATTTATAACTTCTTCAAATTTCAAAATTTTTGATCGGTTCTTTTTGCATATGATTCTCCTTGACATCATCTAAAATTTCTCTTAACAAGTCAAGCGCTGATTATGCTTTGAAAAGCCACGAAAAAATAGAAACGTTAGAAGTCGTTTATAATTTAGTGGAATTTGATTTTTATTATGTTTTATTCATGATTTCTTTTCCATTTAAAAAATCACAAAAAAATGTGTTTAGCATCATGTTATTTTTTTATTTACTATTTTTACCTCTTTACTAAAAAATTATCAAAAATATGTTCTTTATTTAATTTAAATTTATATATTGGTATCATTTATTTCAAAAAAAGTTTAGAAAGATTTATATAAGTTCTTTTACTTTCTTATATGTATTTTATTTTTTATCTTTTAATTTGCACTTATATTTTTATTTATTTTAATTCAAGAAAAAAATCATAAATAGTTAATGTAATGTCTCTTTTATTTTCTATTTTGTATTTATTATTATTACTAACACTTTTAGTTATTATTATTATTATTATTATTATTATAATTATTACTATTACTTTGTCCTTTTGTTTTTTTGTGTCAATAAAGAAAAGTTGGGACCACTATAATATGGTACAATCACTTCACATGGATTGTCAACTTGTACTTATCAGTGACCAAGAATCATTCTCACACTTCACATAGATTATCAACTTGGACTTATCAATGGTCAAGAACTATTCTCATAAAGTCGCATAGATTGTCACATCAACACTCCCACCTCATTCACCCTATAAATAAGATCTTTTTTTCTTTCATTTGGAGAGAAATACCAAAAATCATTCACTAAACTAAGGCAAAACTCTCTTCTTCTTTTTCTCTCTTCATTTTCTTTCAAGTCATTTCTTCTTTTTATTGAATAGGTAGGCTATTATACTTGTTCCTTATTTAATTTTATTATATTTTACCTCTTTATTTATTTTTTTAGTACCATAATTATCACAATTTTAGAAGGAAACTCCATTGATTCAAAATCAAGAGTTGAAAAGTGTTCTAAAACCTCCAAAAGGAAAAGTGATTTATTGTTGTTTAATTTTCATTCTTTTTCTGTAATTCTTTATTGTTTATTTACTTATTTTGAGCATGGATCTTTGGTCGTGAGATTGAGTAGATAAACTTTCATTATTCATTTGTTTAATTTCATGAAAAATTGAGAAACTTATGACATCTATACTATTTTTATTATAGACTTCATCTTATTCTTCTTTATCTTTTTTATTTTTATTTTTATTTGGATCAATTTGGAAACAATTTGAGCTTTTTTAGTTCATCTAAACTTGTCAGATATTTGATGAACTTTCATCATTTCCAATCTACTTCTAAATGGTACTTTGATCATTCAAGTTATTTGGGATTGATGATAAGTTTGTCATAATGTATCTTCCTTGACTTTGTCTTGATCTCATGTTTGTTAATTGTACTACATGTATAAGAGAATGGACTTCAAAGTGTCATTTCTCTAACATGTATGGGTACATACATTGTATGCTCTATATAAAGTTAGACTTATCTCAAATCAGATTATTAAGTTTATATTGTACTAACTTTACTTTAATATCATTTATATTTCCGCACTTTATATTTTCTTCTCTTTACTTTTATGTCATTTATCATCCATAGCATTTTATTTTCTTTACTTTATGCATTTTTTCTTTGCTCATTTGAGCATTTATCTTCTCTTTGCTCACTTTATTTTTTATTTCTAATTTTTAAGTCTTTTGCATTATTTTCATTTAAAAATCTATACAAAAAAAACTATTAGATTAGGATTATAATTATTTATTTCTTGCCCTCTTTAAAAAATACCAAAAATATATATTAGTACAATTTTGTCATTCTTTATTTTATTTAATTTTTAGTTGTTAATTATTTAGTTATTTAATTGTTATTTATTTAATTTCCCTTTGTCGATCATTTAGTCTTTATATTTTGTTTGTCTAACTCCAAAGGAAAAATCGAATTCATTGACTTCATGTCATCGAATATATTTAATACGATTGTGTAAAAAACCCTTTGTACATTTTTTTAGTTTTATTAATCTAAAAACAAATCTCTTCTAAACCTTAATTTTAAAAAACTCGCACATCTTTTAAGCCAAAAGCTTCGACACTAGGTCGTCGCATTTTCAAAATCTCATTCTCACACTCATTTAACAAGCAAACTAATTTTAACCAAAAACAGATATTTCAAAAGGTTCATATAGGATACTATAGATACATAGGATGCTAGTACCTTATCTTTGTATAACCAACACCCGAACCTTCTATCTCTTTCAAATGCATTGTATTTTTCTTTACTTTTAATATTGCACTTACTTTGCATATTTATGGGTTTTATTTCGTACTTTTCCCTTTTCCCTTGGAAATAATAAAGTGCGGTGACGACTCTTGCTTATTTACGAGTCAAGTTAATTAATAGTTTGACCTCCGATTTTCACCGCTACAGTAGAATGCATTTAAGCATATTTCATCTTCTTATTTGGAAGAATATTCTTACATGTTTCTTACGGGGATGATGTCTCTCCTTCTCTTCTCCGTTCAAGTAGTGAATAAATTTATTCTTTTTATTTGTCATTCCTTGAACAATATGGTCCTTCATTTGATATTGAGCCATCCGAGAATTGTTCGACTACTGAGTACTTTCTTTCGAACGATTGCACAGGAGTTGTATGATAGGAGTATGATGAAGATGATGATTCTTCGGTTTGTATTCCTTCATATTTGAGTAATTGAACTAGTTTATTAAATTTTTCTATAGTTTCCTACTTTCTTGATTTTTCCTGAAATTCATGAAGGCTCTCACCTTTTGATTTAAGATTTGGATTAAACTTTCAATTCTTAATTCTTATATATTTGTTACTGATACAATTTCCAACATAATTTCCAATTTTTCTAAACTTTGAAAAGTATCCAACAGTGGTCTCTTTATCTTTTGGATTAAATACCTTCTACCCTCCTGCAATAGTAGCGAGATTTGATTTATCCCCTTTTTAAAAAAAAACTTTCACCCCTCAACAAATATAGATTCCATAACCAAAAACATTTTAGCACAAGATTCTATTTGAAATGCAGACGTGGTCAGGATTTGTTTGCTTTATTTATTTAATTGTGACATGTATTTTGTGGGTTTCATATGAAAACATGAAAAAAAATCTTAAAATCTATTTCACTTGAGTTTCAAATCCAACACCCTTAACATCTCCTACAATCACGTCAACCAATGAAATATATATTTTAACTTGCAATTTTATCTCCTCAAAATTTATCCATAAGAATTCAACGTGTTTTTATTTTTTCATAATTACTACTTTAATTATATTAATCATAATTGTTGTTTTAATTATATTTATCATAATAATTCATCCGTACAACACATGGGTATTCATTTAATTTTTTATATTTATAATTATTTAATAAAAACTTACTTTTTATATTAATTATTATTTTAGTAATTTTTATATTTGTATTGTATGTTACAATAAACTCACTATCTAAGACATGTATATAACAGCTTATATTTTATGTTTTATAACATACAAATATATTACACAAAACATCAAAATAAAGAAATACACAGACTGATTATAATACTATATTAGTACTAATTAATAAACTAGTGATATTAAAACAAGGGGAGGTTGAAGATTGTTTCAAGGGTTATGCTTTTGTGTATAAATATAATATGTGTGAGCAATTAGTCTCCTCCTCATTAAGCATTCCTCATCTTCAATCCCTTCACAGATTGTATCAACTGCCTCAACATCCTGTAAACATATGAAATGTACACTTGTTAAGCATCAATAGAAGATATGAAAAATTTATGTAAAAAGTTAATAGAACCAACCTCATGTTGTGTTACTACCAAAGATTCCCTTTGAAAAGATGGTTCAGGTCTTACAGAGTGGGTGAACATGCAACGGAGGAAGAGAGACATGAATAACAGGGCTGTTATTTTGTTCATATTTGATTTATTTTAGGAGAGGTAACAAGAAAGTTAAATGACTGAGATAATCTTTGAGAGGAATAAGAAAAGAGAGAATTTGTGTGTGTTGAGTTGTTGTAGGAAATGAAGGTGGGAATTTATATTTTATTGTTTTTAATATAAAAATGAAGTTTTTACAAAATAATTATAAAATAAATAAAATTAAATAAATACTAATGAATTATTATGATAAATATAATTAAAGTAGTAATTATTAATAAATATTGTAGAGTGAACGAACAAGTGTTAATATATAAATATATATTTGTGGCATATTGTGACAAAAGTTTTAGCTTAGTCTACTGGTTAGTAGAATGTTTAGCAAACATCATAGAGTAGGTTCAATACCTTGATGTATCATAAAATTTAGTTAAATTTTTTCTTAAAAAAATTATTAAAACTGACACAGCTATGTATTGCCACCTTGATGTATCATAAAATTTAGTTAAATTTTTTCTTTAAAAAATTATTAAAACTGACACAGCTATGTATTGCCACCTATACAAAATACATAAAATTTAGTTAAAATATTTTTTAAAAAGATCATTAAAACTGAAACAGCTATGTATTGTCGCCTATACAAAATACATGTCACAATTAAATAAATAAATAATATTAAAAAAAAAGTCACGGTAACATATATGACCCAGTCAGCAAACAGATTCTAGTCACGTCTCTATTTCATATGGAATTTTAGGCTAAAAGGTTTTTGGTTATGGAATCTATGTTTGTTGAGGAACGAAAAGAATTTTTTTTAAAAAAAGGGGATAAATTAAATCTCGTTACTATTGTAGGGGTTAGAAGACATTTAACTCTTATCTTTTTTGGATCGTATGTTTGTCTTCTCTTATTCGATACTTAGAGAGACTCCATATATCATTTCAAGAGTATCCAACATTTCCTTGGAAGTTTTACAACGATGAACATGAAAATTTTACTATCATCTAGAGACATTATTATAAAGTTTTTGGTTTTAAAAATTATCTTAAACTTTCTCCTTTCCACTTCGGTCCAAAAAGAATTGGGTTTATCTACTGCTTCATCATTTACTTGATGAGTTGGAATAAACGGGCCATTGACTATTTTTTCCCACAATTCATGATTTATGCTTTGTAAATACATTCTAAACCTACCTTTTAAAATATCAAATCTACTACTATTAAAAAATGGTGGTGTGTTTAGAAAGTATCTCTTGTCAGAAGTCATCTTCCTCCTTAGACGATTAATCCTTAAATAAGAGTTAGACTTTGATGTCATTTGTTGAATATATGACTTCATACACAAGAGGGGAGTGGATTGTGTGGTTCACTAAATTGTGGTTTTAAAAAACTTTGTGAATTAAAATAAGAGTTTAAAAACATTTTGAAAATAATTTAAATATTAAGCAACGAAAAATATTTTGCAGAATATAAATTGCGAAAAATAAAAAGTTTAGGGAATGAGATAAACACCAAGAAGTATACAAGTTCAGTCAAGAAACAACTTAGTCGTGTCTCTAAGAATTGATCTTGAGAATATCCAATAAATTTTGAGAGCTTTTAGTAGGTAATACTCGTGAACTCCCTTTTACAAGGAAAATGGTTGACTTCCAACCTAAACAGTAAGACTAAGAATTTTGCAGATTGAGTCTTCTCTTCCAAATGACGGATTGAAGCGTTTAGTCTCCTTTCCACGCAGTAGTTCGAAGCGATTAGTCTTATTTCCACGAGAATCTTCGAGAGATTAGTCTTCAAGCTTTTAACCAAACTTTGTAAGTTTTTACCACGAGATAAACTCATGAACCTTAAACTTTAGTTTTACCACAGGCTAACCAATAACTTGAGAGGTTTTAATATCAGGATAATTTCGAGCCTTATCCAAGATTTTAATACCTGGCTAAGATTTAACCTAACCTTGATTCTAACCAGAGATAGCCAATAACCTATGAGATTTTACCATTGGCTGATCTCGAACCTAAATAAGGGCTTGATCACACAATTCTCAAACCAAAAGCTTTTACGGGTTTAGCTTTTGACCCAAACAATTCCTAAATGGATAATATTCAATCAAGGAGTAAATAAAAATTCCCTTGGTGAATTTTACAACGCTATCCTTCCAGAATTACAACTTATCCTCACTCATAAAAGAACTTTCTCGCAGAAGCATTTTGGCTAAACTATTAGTTAAAGAAAGTAAAAGAAAAGTTTAGAGAGAGAGAGGGAGAGAGGGAGAAGTGTCAAAACATGATTCTCGATGGTTTGAAATGAGGGTAGTGGCCTCTATTTATAGGCTAGAGGTTTCCTCAAAAAGGAAATTGATTTTTATGCTTTTTAATTAAGACTTCCTAATCGATAAACACCTAATGTCAATCAATTAAATACTTCAAATATAATTGATTGTAATCTCAAAATAGGAACGAATAGATATCTAACAATTCCACATCATTAAGATTTTGTCCTAATCATTTAGAGATCAATTTGATTAGAAAAGTCAAAACTTTGTCCACACCAATTTTGATTTGCACCGAAGATACCATTAATTCTAATTGGCATCAATTTTTCGACAAAATTAGATAAATAGAAATAGAAATTTTCTTGAAATAGATTTTTTTTTATTTCTATAAATATAAATATCATTTATTATTTACTATAATTATTATTATTTTCTATTATAATTATTTTTTGACTAAGATATAATTCATGTGTTATTATTTTGTATAATAATTATTTTTTTTTTACTAAGATATAATTTATGTGTTATTATTTTGTATAATAATTATTTTCTATATTATTATATCAATATTTTATTAATAAAACAAAAAGATCTAGATTGATATATTTTTGTAATAAAACCATATAAAATCCATCAAAAGACACTAAAAACAATAATACTTTATTTATTTTAATTCGATGTTTTTTATACTAAATTACATTATTTTAAATCATGATTTTTATATTATTTTTATTTTTTATACTAAAAATAAATTATTTAATATAAAAATCTTAAAATGTAATTGTTTTTACAAGTTTAAGATGAGATCAAATAAGAATTAAGTTATTTGTCTATATATTGAAAACAATTGTTTTTCATAAAGAAATAATTGGAATAGTCTATAATAATATTATATTATAATTAGTCCATATGAATTATATATTATAATAAAAAATTACTACTACTATTATTATTATTATTATTATTATTATTATTATTATTATTATTATTATTATTATTATTATTATTATTATTATTATTATATATTAGTCAAAAAATAATAATTCTAGTAAATAATAATAAAATTTATATTTATAGAAATAATAAAAAAATATTTTAAGAACATTTATTTTTTTATTTAATCAATTTTGTTGAAAAATTAATGACAATTTGAATATATGGTATATTTTTTGCAAATACATCTTTGAATTTATTCTAAAAAGATTTAAAAATATATCTCTGAACTAAATATTTGTTAAAAGTGAAATTTAATGCGTTCAAATATACATCTATTTATCTTTAAAAATAGAGAATATTTTAAAATTTTCATCAATAAACAGAGAAAATGTATAAGAGTACAATGAAAAATTACTTAAAAAAGATATGCCGGAAGACAGTATAAATTTTTCATGATCGTGTGAAATAACACATAAGGAAAGAGCTTCACAGTTGGGAGTATATGTAACCGACACTCCAAAGAGCTTCCACCTCAGTATGATATGTATCACACCAACTGCCACTCTGCCTTTATTTGTCTCTTGCTCATAACTTTGTATTCATCTCTATACTTTTGAGCTGTCCTTTAACATACCACTTGAAATAATTAAACTATAATAATCATTAGAAAAGATATCAGAACCTAAGCTAGCTTAATTTGACTCAAGTTTTGGACTTCGAACCTTCTATAAAAGTCTAGTTTTGCTACTATACTTTTCTCACATGACAAAAATATACTCATGATAAAAATAAATAATGAGATGAAAATCATCTTCATATTACTCTCAAGTCTTTTACTAGGATGTCTCTCGCTCATGACTGTACAAAGGATTCATCAACAAAAACAGCTTGAGAAGAATGAAATTACAACCACAAGATTATATAGAGTTAGTATTAACTAGATTTCCACTTCTTTTTTTGTTTTATATTTCTGACCTGATTTATAAATCCAAACAAACAGAAGCAAATGGCACTCATGGCAAAGACTTCTTCAAAAATCAACAAGTTTAAAAGGCAAAGTAATAATCCCATCACAGAAACCAAATGTTCAAAAGATTGTGATGATGTACCAATTTATAAAGACAGTCCAGAAAGATCATCAAGCTCCGAACAACAAATTTTCAAAAAACCTCAAGATATTGATCATACTGCAAAAGAGATTGAAAACCAGTTTTATAAGGATTATAATAATAAGGGACATCCAGTGCCAAAAGCTCCATGATATTGAATATTATTTCACATAAAAAGGTTGAGAAACTCTGAAGCTCAGACACCTCTGAAAATAGGTGCATCAGCGTCCATGTCGTGCCCAGTGGTGTAGTGTCTGTTCTTCATAGTTCAGAACTCAGTCACTACTTGACAATTTCATTTGCCAACTATATGTATAGCGCGTGACAAATTGCACAAGCCTTTAAAACACTGTTTCAAACCATATTTCATTTATAATAATGCTTCTAAATTTTGCACGAGGTTCCAAGTCTCTGTCTCTGCCTCTTCATATTCTTTTCTTTACAGTTAACAAAAGCTGGGATTAATAAACTTTGAAAATTCTCAAGAAACTGGTTCCACTTCTCTTCATCCATATCTGTCAACTTCACAAAACTTGAACCTGTCACCAAATCATTCACACTGTTATCTCCAGAAGAACTCGCAACCGAAGAGCCACTTCTTTGTTTCACACATGAGAACTGACAACTTTTTTCATTGATAGCCGCGTTTTTCACTAACACAGATAGCTTTGAAATATTGCCTTCTTCCTCCTCCATTACACTCTCTTCTAGTTTAGAAAGTTTAATTCTACCGTTTCCATTTCTCATTCGGAATTGAGATGATGATGACACTGTTGGTTTCTCTTCTAGATTTAACACAAAATCAGAATCCGGATCCGGATCCTCGCAATCTAACTGAAAAGGGGTCGCATCTTTGTCTCCTACTTTTCTTTCAAAAGATGATAAATCTTCATGATCTAATAGCTTCTTTGCCTCAATACATATTAGCTCAAGCTCACTAGGTTCTTCAACATGACAGTTAAATTCTCTACTCATCATATCGCCGATCTCAGCTAGACAAAGACCAAAGGCTGCTGCTTCTTTGAGGAACAAAGTACAAAGAACCAAAACCCGTAAGCATGCTTCTCGAATCATTGGAAGCTCCATTCTAAGCATTTCTGAATCACGAAATGGGTCTAGACGAGATATGTACTTCAGCTCATCATCAGAGAAAGGGATTGAAGCTTGAGGCCAATGGATCCATTCAAAATAAGGATCTTCCAGATGTTCAGGTAGACAAAGACCATGATCGATAGGAAAAAGCTCGACCCGGTCAAACCTTCCAAGCTCATCAAGCTTCTTGACGAGAAGATTTCCTGCATGTCTGTCTGTATTTAAGATGCGCACATCTAAAATTCCGATCCTATGAACAGAAGCAACGGGAAAACTAGAAGTTCCATGATCACTAGCATCAAAATCATGAGGAATGTAATGTTGGAGTGATGCAATCTTGCTTATTTGCTTCTTGTTAAGATGCATATTACCATTGACCATGTCGTTAACATTAAAAATACCGTGTGTAACCTTCACAAGTGCAGTAGAAGGCACATTCGCAAAATGATCATGGTCAAGAAGGTAAGCTGCAACTTCTCTGAATCCCGTCTCTCCAACCCTCACCGACCTTTTCAATCCAGGTTGTCCGAGAGCTTTACCGACAAAACCTTTCGGATTGTTTGGTGCATAAGGTTCTTCATCAGTTGGTTTAACAATTGCGATGTTTTCACCATAAATGTTTCTAAAATAATATGCCCCTCCTAATCCACTCTGAATAGGGATTGGTTCGACGCCATCTTTTATTGCCATCATAATATCCTTAACCAGTTGTTTAGTTCCAGATAACATATCCGAGCGACCTATAATCTCAATCGGCCCACTCTGATCCCTATGTTGAAGATCCCTACCAGTCGGTGAAAGGCACGGGGTAGATGAACTCCTATGTAAAAAGTTCCTGGTGAGAAGAAGTGGACAATCATTTCTAACTACACTTAAATCATTTTTCAAGACTGTGTCGCCACATATAAGTGAACTTTCCTCAGTTGGGACATTGAATACTACCTGTAACTTCCTCTTCACAGTGTGCGCATTGTCACTTCTTTCTAATTCCATGCCAAGAACACACCCGGTTTCTGTCTGAACAAATACACGTCTTCTACCCGAAGGCTTTCTTTCCATTTTCTTATTCCTGGAACATTCGCTAGGAGGACCTTTGAAGGTTGCAGCGGCCATCTCGTCATGTAAACAGGTATCCAAATCAGGATACATGTAAGGAAAACGAAAAGGGGCAAACTCAAATGCCAGATGCAGAGTGTTTTTTTTCTCTGAAGCAAACACCCAACTCAGATGCAGGCACTTGCGAAGAGCCTTTTGCATGAACAATCATCGCCAACTCTACAAAATCAGAAACTCAAACGCTGGCACTTGAGAAGAGACTTTTGCATGAACAATCATAGCCAACTCTACAAAATCCAAAACTCCAAAGGTTCTTACATACAAACTGGAAACTTGGGATGTCACTCAAACAAACAGCTACATCGAAGATGTCACCTGACAGCAGAAGAAGCTAATCAAAAATTGGAAGGGAAAAAAAGAAACTATAAATATGATCCAAATTAAGATTGGCAAACAGACAAATTCACTTTTGAAATCCCAATAATGATCAATAAAGCATAGGGAAAGGATGCTTAAATATGAATTAAACAACAAAGGACTTGATTTAGTAACTAGAGGATTAATGGTATCAAACCTATGTTATCAATCTCGGATAGCAGCGTAGCGCGGCACGGCCATCCCCAAAAAGGGAACGAGATCGGAAAGCGGAACGATCGATATTTTAGTAAAGCACACACTACTAATACAGTTCATATTAATGAACACATAATTGTTAAAAAAACTAAAATAAATTAATCAAAATTCATGTGAAGTGTTCATATTAAGAAATAAAAACCATAAGTCTTAAGTCAAACATACTTCCAAATGCAAATAAAATTCAATAAAATAATCTTGCTATCCTTAAAAATTTAAGGGTAATATCATTTACAGCTGACGCGGCCGGAGCGACCACGTTAAAGCGGCATCGTTCCAAATCCAATCTTATTATCGTGGTCGTTCCAGCCGAGTCACTCATATGTGACGGAACAACACTTGCCTGACTTGGTTTTGTTGTTTCGTGCCGAGATAACGGCCGGAACAGCCGAGTTTGATAACACAGTATCAAACCAGTTCTTGTAATAATAGAAAGAAAAAGAATTTAATGTATATTACCTCCAAGAGTGCAATATATACAATGAGTAGCATCTTACCTTAGTTACTCCTAAATCAGTGTCTATCAGAGACTGTGGCATCAGTAGCTTGTTGAAAAGAAAAGGATGCAATTGATATTTAAAATACAATTTAGAGGTAAATAATTGAATTTGAACTATTAAAAGAAAGCATGATGTAATTTGTATTTCATTAACAGTATTTATAAACGGGTCCAAGTCTAATAATTTCTTTCATTTTTCTCACTCAATCTAATCCCAACCACGTCATGAAATGAGTATTTATTCTAACTTACCTTTCATATATGACTAATCAGCCCAAAAGTAAATGGTTTTTTAAACCATTATTCAAACTCATAATCAATTAACTAATAAATAAAATTCTATCTTTCCTAACCACTCAAGTAAAGACAAACCGACTATCATTGTATAGAGACAACCTACACATAAATTCTATCAGCTGAATCATTTCAATGTCAAGATTCAAGTCCACAATAAACTGATGGTAAGAAATAGACTTCAACCCATTTGTACCTTTATAAATTATACGTGTCTTCTTATATATAAAACTTGTGTCAGTTTTATTTCTCATTTTCAAAATTTAAATTAAAACTAACTAATGCTTTGTCAAAAGGGCGAGAGCATTTGGAGGAGATAGTATGTGATCTCTTTCAACTTAACTAGAGAGCATTTGGAGGAGAAAGAATGTGATCTATGTGTTCTCTTCCAACTTAACCAGAGAGCATTCAGAGGAGATAGTATGTGATCTCTTCTAACTTAACCAGAGGTTCTGGATTCAAACTCAACCCTAGATATACAGCAATGTTAAATTCTCTTGAGGAAGAGTTTTACCGCCCATTGGGTCCTCCCTGATTCGAGGGGTTAGTCTCCGCAGTTGCGCGCAGAGGATACGCAATTTCTACGGAAAAAAGGAGCAGAATGTCGTTAGAAAAAATGACAGATTAGATTAGGTTTATCTGACCTGAATCTGACCATAAACTCGTGAAACAAGATGATATAAGAGTCAAATAAGGATGGAAAATACAAAGACAAGAAGGTTGGGTTGGTATCAAGACAAGTCACCAATACAATAATATTTTTATAAAAATACATTAATCAACAATTTTTTTGAATCATAAGACAAAAACAAAAATTCTAGTCTACAAATCATAATCATCTTGCAAAGAAATTAGTCACCCAAATTTCAACACCTAAATATAAAAATTTGCTCATCTACAAATTAATCATGCAAAAGAGTAAACATGAGCATCACAAAGCTTTTTACTTGCTAAAAACATACGAAATACTAAAGTCATTCATAAGATGATAGAAATGAGAAATCACACTACAAGTGAATCCTAAAATTAGAAAGAGAAATTAGTAAAATAAAAATTTGTTTATAAGAGGCTTTTGAGTGACCTCAGTGACTATTATAAAATATAAAAATAATATTTAAAAAATATATTTGTCCTAAATTTATTTGAGTCCCTTTTTTAACTTTGTTCATATCTTTTTCCTAAAATATTGTCCATATTGTCCAGATTTTTTAGGACCGAATTTAACCTGGCCCATTGCATTTGAACAAGAATGGTTAAAAGAACAGAACGAGTCGTGGTGGGTCTTGTACACTCTACCAAAGTTTTAAATAATAGTCGCGGTCATGTTGCGATTGCGTAAAGACTTGTACACCTTACCAAAGTTTTAAATAACAGTGGCGATTATGTAAAAGCTTTCGCAATTTCAATTAGTAGATATTGCGTAAAGGTTTTCGCAATTTCAATTAGTAGATATGTTGCTATACTGATTGCAGTAGTCATCATAGTGTAAATTGACTATAATTTATTCTTTATTATAAAAAAATAAATAATGATATAGATATTGTCAACTTCCAAATACCGTTTTGTATTTCTCTCTCATTATCAAATTATAAGTTTTGTATTACTCTCTCATTATCAAATTATAAGTAAATTTAATCTTTTTAGTACATTTGACCATTGATGTATCTAATCCATATATAGACTACATACATTAATTATTAAATGTATCGAAAAAATCAAATTTATTTATAATTTGTTACGGAACACCTTGCACCCTACTATATTCATATGCCAACAAAACTAGTAGTACACAATAATGAATTTGGACCCTCTTTTTTCTTCTTCGATCCTAAAAAATCGATAACAATAATTGGCTAATAACTAATTATAGGATACAACCATGAAATCCACAAAAAAAATATTATAATTTTTTATTTAATTTTTCTAATGTATCTCCACTACCTATAATATAATCCTATAAGAAAATGTATAAAACAATAATTAAATATCCACATCACAAAAATAAAGAATGATAATTATATAATTAATAATAATATTAATAATAAATTAAATCATAACAGATAACAATGAATTAATTGAATGGTGTATGTTTGATTCTGCGGGCGAGAAGAATTGATTATGAGTGAATTGATTTTATAGAATTGTTTTTGGTTAAAAGTGAGTTTGATGTAAAGTGATTTGTGTTTGGATAGGCTCATGTAAAAGTGAGTTCAATAACAAATTTTAGTGTAAAAATCAATTCCGGAGGCAGAATCAATTCTAACCAAACACAGACAATGAGATTAGAACCTCACCTGCTTCAACCTCCTGAAACAACAAACACGCCGCAAATTTCACTACCAAAAGCTTGAGCCATCGATAACTTCACCTTCCCAACAATATCTGCAAAACGAAAATCATCAACAAATCTTCAATTCCAATTCACAAGAACACAAACGAAGAAACCAAAACTAGAAACTCAAATAATTCGAATCGTGAATCGAAAACAAATCGATCCGGTGCAAATTTTAGATTGGAAGATAATTCCAAACCTCGTCGGCGAGAAGGTTCTGCGGCGCGTTGAGAGCAGGCTCCGCCGCGAGAGGCGGAGGAGAGATCCGATGAGAGTTTGTTACAGTTGCTACTTCAGATTTTTGTTATTACATGATTTCAAGGTTTAACAGGATTCTTGTATTCTTATAGATTTTTATTTTTTTAAGTAAAGAAATGAATTCTTTTTATTTGATAACTAATTTAATTTTCTTTTTTTTTTTAGAAAAATTAGTGTAATACTAGTATGATTCAAGAAAGAATATGTTAAAAATAAGAGCATTCAACCTGCCACGCCTAAAATTATTCAAGGCATCACTTATATTTTTGTATGGACAAAAATGCTTTTGTTATAATTTATTTTTAAAAAACTTATATTTGTTTACAAAATTTCACTTTGGACTTGCAGTAAAACTGAAATTTCTTGTACCCTCATTGAAATTTTTATTGGAAATTGTTCATATTTTTTAAAATTTTTGAAGGCGATTTTTTCAAAATTTTTTGAAATTTTCGATGTTAATATAAAAATCCAAAGAAATATACTGAAATTTTTTAAAATTTTCTAGTAGCAACAAAATTTCCCATAAATTCTGAAATTTGTATTACCAAAAACTTTGTAAAAACTTCAAATTTTTGGTATATCTATAGATAAAATTATTTATTTGTCTAGAGTCGACAACTTTTTCTATCGATTTTTGTACATATTTTACATAGTTCTTCATCACAGATACCGTATATTTTTTATTCAACTAATGCAGTTTTTAACTATTTTCCCGTATTTGTGAAAGTGATAGTTTAATATTTATATGTTGTAATTGACAGATATTTAAGTCTCGATCTGAATTTTTAGTATAGGCACAATCTACTGGTAAACGACATTGTATTATTGTTGTAACTATTCGCTCTGATTCTGCTAATGAAATGCCAGGGAGGAAGGATACGTTGATTATGGATTGTGAGAGGGGGCGAATTTACAAAAGAAGGAATGCATCTGAAAGCAATAATTTTTCTGAAGGCATTTATAGTATGAAGATTAAATGTATGTTTAAGCTGAGATATGTTCCAAGTGGTATCGGTTGGAAGGTGATGGTTAGATGTGGGATGCATAATCATAAACTATCTAAGGATTTGGAAGGTCATGACATATTGGATCGTCTAAAAGATCATGAAAGAAAGTTTGTGAATGATATGATGAAGTATAATATGGCTCAAAGGTACATAGTTTCTGCTTTGAAAGACAAAGATTCAGAAAACCTCATGAGTGTTACCCAAGTGTATAAAGCTAGAGCACCATACAAAACGGGCAAAAGAGGTACATTGATAGAAATACAAATGTTGTTGAGCCTTATTCATAAAGAGAAATACATGTGTTAGACTAGAAATAGGGACACCTCGGATGTTGTAGCTCATATCTTTTGGATACATTCTGATTCTGTGAAGTTATTGAATATGTTTCAATTGGTGTTAATTTTTTATTGCACATACAAGATAAACAGGTAAGAATTTTTTTAATGCACATCATAATATATGTCGTAGATGTTAAGTTATCAGTCTGATTATGTGCATTTTGATTGTGCAGGTACCAGATACCACTGCTTGAGATTGTTGGTGTTACGAAGTTGACATTTTCAGTTGCCTTTACCTATTTAGAATATGAAAGGGAGGAGAATTTCACATGGCCATTGGAGAAGCTCAAAGAGTTGTTCTCTTCAGAGAATTGCTACTGAAGGTTGTGTGACGGACCGAGAACTTGCATTGATGAATGCTACGAAATTTGTGTTCCCAAATGCAACTCATTTGTTGTGTTTGTTCCATATTTCAAAAAACGTGAGCATGAAATGTAAAGAGTACGTCAAATCAGAAAGACATGGATATATCATGGATCTATATAATAATATCATGTATTCAAATACGTAAATTGAGTATGTCGAACACTTCAAACACTTTGAGAGTGTTTGTGTTGATATTTCTTTATTTGTTAAATATGTGAATGAAATATGGTTGATACTTTATAAAGATGGGGTTGTTACTGCTTGGACTAATAGAGTCACTCATTTAGGAAACACAACAACAAAAAGGTACACGGAACATGACAGTTTGATGTTATTACTCTTTATGATTCAAATACAGTTTGAAACATGTATTTTTATTTATGGTTTTTAGGGTGGAGTATGCTCATTGGAGACTAAAAATATGTTGACCTCAAGTCGGGGAGATTTATGTTAAAGTTGGGATGATAAGAACATTGTGTTGAAGTTGCAACTAGGTTCAATCAGAGTGTCATTTCAAAAAAGTATTGTCAATATTGAGCATATCTTCGTCGTCAATGGGTTGTTCTAGCATCCTTTCCTTGGGTTTATCTCCTTTAGGAGAGAAAAGATTTCTCCCAATTTTCCTTTTCTCTTTGACCTCATTGGTGGGTTAAGGCTAGTTAGTGCTACACTCCTGCCATTCCTCTCTCAGTCGCTTCCCTCTCAACCTTCTTTTTCCTTTGGTTCCTCTTCCACTGAGATCTTGACATGGAATTCTTTCCTTTGTAATTCTAATATCTGTATGCCTTCTATTTCGACACATGGAACTCCCTTCGATAAGTAATTGAACATCCTCTACCAAACTCAAAACTTTTCCATTTTCCTTGTCCTTGGCCTCTATTTTCTACAGGCCTCACCCACTTGTCTATTGGGGCGCCTACAGTTGGTTTGAATGAAGCTTGCCTGTTTTCCCTGAGATTTGGTCCCCCCTGTTGTTGCTTTCGGGGAACTCCCCTCTTGTTGAAAACAAATATGCCCCCAACATCCTTCCATTTTCCCTTTCGACAGGAAATTCAGACTCTCTCCAAATTTTCAGCAGCTTTTCAATCATACATGGAACTGCATCTAGGGCACATCAACGCTTCTGAGTTCTTCTTGTGGCATCAAAAAAGGAATTCGACAGATTCTCATTTGTCTTGGGGCAGGCCACCTTCATTTGGTCTTCTTCCCTCTGGATTCTTTCTTCGTCATCCTCTAAGTCAGCTTCTCCCCCCAGTTCAACCATGTTAATTTTGATATTATGACCATCAATAATCCTAATCTTTTGTAACTTGAGTCTGAGGCCTTTAGTAGCCTTAGTCATTTAGACACCCTTGTTGAAACCTTCAGTGGTTCCATTCATGGTGTTATTAGCATGGAGGTCTTCAGCAACCTCGATCATATTGACATTCGCTGGTTCAGTGTAATGGGCATCTGCCACTTGCAAGAGGTCTGAATCAATCTTCATCTTGCTTTTCTCACCAAACTTCAACTTTCCATCCTTGACAGCATTTTGCACAAGATCCATGAAAATAAAACATTGTGAGGTTTTATGGCCTAAGAAATTATGATACTTACAAAACCCTCTTTTCTTTAGTTGTTCTAATGGAGGAAATTTAGCACCGGGTGGCATTATCATTTGGCCATCTTTAACCAATAAATCGAAGATTTCGTCACACTTTGTCACGTCGAAGGTGTATGTTCTCTTAGGGAATTTCTCATTCTTCCTGTTTGAAGGGGCAAGAACTTTACAAGAATAAGGCGAACATTGCTTTAATTTGGCCATATCCACTTTGATTTCATTGAAGCCTATAGGGTCACTATAAACCTCTTGCTCATCCTCATCCATTTCAACATAAGCTAGCTTTTCTCTTCTATTTTTCTTACTTTCCCTAGCCTTTTCAGCTTTTAGGCGTTCCACTTGTCGAACTCGGTCTGCTAGTTGGGCGATATCCCATAAATACTGGGTGTTTAGTTTCTTCCTAATGGAATAATCTAAACCACTTGTGGCCATTTCGATCAATTCATGTTTAGGAACTTGTGTGAAACATATTACCTTTAACAAATGGAACCTATTGAGATAGTAATCTATTGGCTCAATAAATTTACATTTGATACTAGCCAATTCCTTCAATCTTTGATTGTCCCATGTAGAACTGCTCATGGAATAATATCTCCAAACGAGTCCAATCATTTACAGAGTTCACTGGGAATGTGGTGAACCAAGTAAAAGCATTTTTGGTAAGGGAACTAGGGAAATATCTTATCCTTAGGTTTTCATTGTTAGAAATGTCTCCAACCTCAGTTAAATACTTGGTTATATGTTCGATAGTAGATTCAGTGGTATCACCAGAGAACTTTGTGAACTTTGGGACTTTCCACCCTCTGGACAACTCAGTTTATAGGATATACTCAGACAATGGGGAGGTATAATTTTGCCTTCGAAGGCCTACATTTACCCCATTTCTTTCCAGAATTCTTTCAACCATGGCAGCAAGGTTGTCTTGTCGAACATGATGGACTACTTCATCTACATCTTGGATTCTATTAACCATTACCACCCTAGGAAGGCCCCCCTCTCTAGGAACTTATTGTTTGACCACACAGGGTTTGACAAGTTGGGCTTGATTAACTTTTCCTGCATTGGGTGCAATGTGTTGGGGGTTGGTCTACAATAGCCCCCTCTAAAACTAACCCATGATTTTTACAAGTCACTCTCGTTTAGGCTGTAAAATTGGCGCATGGGGAGTGCCAAACAAGGCTGCAAGTCGCGCCATCTGTGATGCTAATTGTTGATTCACTTAGATGCTTTCATGGTTAGTTCTATCAATATTTTGGATCAAAGGATTGAATATTGTACCCATTTGTTGGGAAAGTATATTCACCATTTCATGGTTGCTTTTGTCCATCTGATTTCTTAGTATAGTTGCAGAATTTGTAGTAAATGTGGCCATTTCGAACCCTGGGGGACGAATTGAAACAATTGGCTCAATAAATCATCGAGATGAAATCAATGAAGTCGCTATCAAACGTTTTTTATCCCACGGGAAGGGAAAGGTAAACATCGACTAAACCTGAGATGGGTAAGGGAATCGATTACACGAGGGGAAGGTATTAGCACCCCACACGTCAATAGTACTCTACGGGATCCACTCTTATTGTTCTAATCAAAAGGTGTGTTCAAATCTAAATCTTACGAGCTAAAAGAAAAAATGCAAAGAGGGAATGCTTGCAAAAGAAAACACGGGGAAAAGAAGTAAATATTTACAAAGTTTCTCTCGGCTGAGCCCCGTGACCAGAGGCATACGCATCCTTTTTAAGGAATCAGAGCGTCGTAGTTCGGATCACATGCTTTGGTTTGTTTTGCATTTTTTAATGAACAATATTAATTTTTTTTCTTCCGCAAGTCAACCTTTGGAGACTCACGCGTCAGCACATAAATGAATTGACATGTTCTTTTTGAAAATTTGAAAGAAAAGAAAAGGCCCGAAGGCAAAAAAGAGTTTGTATTAGTTGATGTTTTTTACCTTGAAAAAGGATTTGAAAGTCGTTAGATGTTTTATGCATTTTCCAAGAAAAAGGTTTTAGTCTTAAGGATCAAAAAGAAAAGAAAACATCTAACGGAGTGTTGGCTCCTAAATTCGACACCTTTGTTTTGTTTGATGGCAGCCATCAAAAGCTGAAAGATGCTTTCGACTGGCTAAGCCTGTCGAAGTGCCCGTCGAAAGATGGCAAAATACTTAGAAGATTTCTTCCAAGGAAGAAGGCTGACTGCCTTCGACGTCGAAGGAGTTTTCGTCGAAGATGTCTCTTGATGAAGGTGTTCGATGGTCCAGAGTGGAGCAGTTTGAAATTCAAAGCTTTGGAGGGAAAACGGTTTCCAGCAGTTACTACGTGCAAATGTGCAAGGATCTGGAGCGTCGAACATGGAGAACGTGCCAAGTGGCTTAATCTCGAAGCAGTGTAACTGCCCGACGGTTACTTGGAATGTTTTTGTATAAATAGGAGTAGACATGTAGTTTCTCGCGTGTGTTCACAATCATATACATAGTCACTCATTTAGATTCAAGTACCCAGTGTGAGCGAAAGAATTGTTGAGAAATGTATGTGTGAAACACCAATTTTTATCAATTAAAGTCATTTACTTTTCCAGTATTTTACTTGCTTTTCTCCTTTAAATTCCTGTCGAACCTTTACTTTAAAGCCTTGTTTATTTTACCAAGCCTTTCCTTTATGCAATTTACTTGAAACATTTTACTTAAAGCCTTATCCACCTTAATCAAACTTCAAAATCAACCTATGTCCATAGGATCAATCTGATCGATCCTGCGAGTAACCAAATAAGTAACCATTTGGAGGATCAGCGGTTGTTTACCAAAACCCAAGGTAAACAAATTGGCACACCTGATGGGACTGTGTGTTGATTGATTGAAAAATAATCTCATCTTTTCGAGTTGTATGTTATTGAG